GTTGGTGATTATTACACCAAACACAGGGCTGTATGGGACGATCTGGAAGGCAGCAAAACTCGCAAGTTTTGCGATTGTGGTGATAAGTGTGCCATTGCCAAAGCAATCGAGGAGGAGCAAGAGCATGATCACGTTTATCAATTTTTGATGGGGCTGGATGAATCTACATTTGGCAATCTGAGATCCCATATCCTCAACACTTCTCCTCTTCCTAGTGTCAACAAAGTGTACGCAATTGTCACTCAAGAGGAGACCCATCGTAGTATTTCTCGCGTTCAAGATGAGAGGAGTCAGGTAGTGGGATACTCAGCCCAAACCGATTCCATGAAGCAATCAGACACGTCCATGCAGCAGCGGATGGTTCCTAACAAACCACAAGACAGAATACCTTGCCCTCATTGTGGCAGGACCAATCACGACCCTTCCAAATGCTGGAACATTCATGGTTTTCCACCAAACAGTAGTGCTGGTCGCGGACGAGGAAGGGGAGGACGTTCGGCAGGACGTTATACGCATGCTCATGCGACGTTTGCAATGGATGCCTCACACCCAGTTGCTGCTAACTCTCTTCCTCCAGACGTCTCCCATTCTGCCTCTTCTCAAGTTGCTGCACACTCCGTTTTGACCCCAGAAATTGTGAACAAACTGTTAACATTGGTAGACCAGCCTCAGTCACATGAAAAATTATCTGGTAAGCGTATTCATTCTCAATGGCTCATTGATAGTGGGGCCTCACGTCATATGACAGGCACTTTGGCTTTATTAGCTGACATTACACTTATTCCCCCTCTATCTGTGACTCTACCAAATGGTTCTATTACTTATGCTGCAAAACAAGGCTCGATGGTGTTTAATACAAACTTCAGCTTGTCAAATGTTTTATATGTGCCTAACTTACGCTGCAATCTCATCTCTGTTTCCCAATTGCTTCACTCCAAGAGCAGTAGCGTTACATTTACTGATAAAAAGTGCATTTTGCAGGACCAAGTGCTGAAGAGGGAGATTGGTTTGGGTGAACTTCATGAAGGAGTCTATGTGTTTCAACCTTCATGTGCTTCAGCTTCGGCAGTTCAAGCAGGAGAGTCAATTGACTTGTGGCACAACAGGCTCGGCCATGCATCCTATGATATCTTATCTCTGGTTCCAGAATTTAAAGTTTTGCAAAATAAAGTAGTATGTAAGGCATGTGAAGTTTGTCATCGTGCCAAGCAAACTAGATCAATGTTTCCTATAAGTTTTTCTCGCAGCAAAGAATGTTTTGCTTTAATCCATTGTGACACTTGGGGTCCTTATCAAAATTCTTCTTCTTCTGGTGCACGTTATTTCTTAACTGTGGTGGATGACTATAGTAGGCATGTATGGGTTTTTATGTTGGCCGATAAAAGTGAAACTTATGATCGGATGTGCAAATTTCTTGCTATGGTTCTGAACCAATTTGGTAAAACCGTAAAAATAATAAGGTCTGATAATGGTACTGAGTTCAAATCTAATAACATGGTGAAACTCTTGAATGAAAAAGGTATTTTGCAACAAACAACTTGTGTTTATACGCCTGAACAGAATGGGAGAGTCGAAAGGAGGCATAGACACATCCTTAATGTATCACGTGCCTTACTGTTTCATGCAAATCTCCCTGTTGATTTTTGGGAGGAGAGTATTCTTGCTGCTGTTCATATAATTAATAAAACACCTACAAGAGTTCTCCAAGGCAGGTCACCACATGAAGAATTGCATGGAGTTAAACCAGATTATACATACTTGCGCACGTTCGGTTGTCTGTCATTTGCTAATACAAGACCGAAACCAACTGACAAGTTTGCTCCACGTTCGCGACGATGTGTTTTCATCGGATATGCAATAGGGCAGAAAGGTTGGAGATTGTTTGATATAGAAGCGCAACAAAGCTTTGTGTCCAGGGATGTAAAATTTTTTGAAAATATTTTTCCTTTTCGCGAAGCTCCAGTACAACCTGTTTCTGCACCAAATTCTCGTGTGCTTACAGAGCCAAATTACTTTGACGAAGGCCAAATTGTCCATGACGGTTCTGATGCATCAAATGACAGCCCAACGCCTAGTGGATCATGTGTTCCTCTGGACGATAGGGGGGAGTGTTTCGCTGGAAGCAACACCAACTAACAAAGTTACCGCTAGGGAGTCCTCCTTACTAGAAAGAAGTTCGAGTTCTAGTGATGCATCAACCCAATAGCAGTTGCTGGAAGCAAATCTGCGTCAAACAGTCACACGCTAGCACCGTAACAGGAAGCAACCATCTTATTTGCAGGACTATGCATGTCAAGTAGCTGATACACACACTCCTTCATCTCTCCCTACTCAAACCAATGTCACCTCAGGTACTCGGTATCCTATTTGCAATTATCTTAGCCTCACTAACTTTTCTAAGCAACATCAAGATTTTGTTGCAGCTATTGACACAGGTCATGAACCACGTACATTTCAAGATGCTATGAGAGACTCCCGATGGGTGGAAGCCATGAGGGCTGAAATCACAGCCTTAGAAGACAACCATACATGGTGCCTCACGGATTTACCTCCAGGGAAGCGTGCTCTTCCAAGCAAGTGGGTGTTTAAAATAAAATATCGTTATGATGGAACGGTGGAACGGTATAAGGCAAGATTGGTGATTGCAGGTAATTATCAGATTGCCGGAGAAGATTACAGTGAGACTTATGCACCAGTGGCAAAGATGGTGAGTGTACGTACATTGCTTGCAGTGGCTGCAGCAAGAAACTGGGAGTTGCACCAGCTTGATGTTCATAACGCATTCTTGAATGGAGAAATAAGTGAGGAAGTTTACATAAGATTCCCCCTGGATTCAGTACTGGGTCTAAGCATAAAGTATGTCGTCTTACAAAGTCATTGTATGTTTTGCGCCAATCACCCCGAAACTGGTTTTCCAAACTCAGCAGTTCGTTGACGGCATATGGATTTGTTCAGTCAAAAGCTGATTACACGCTCTTTACTATGCAAAAAGGGGAGGTGTCTCTTGCACTTTTAGTTTATGTTGACGACATCATCTTAGCAGGTAATAATTCACATGCTTGTCTTGCAGTCAAGGAGTATCTGAATCAGTGTTTTAAAATAAAAGACCTGGGTAGTCTGAAATATTTTTTGGGTATTGAAATTGCCCGCAGCAAGAAAGGAATATTTTTATGTCAGCGTAAGTATGCCCTGGATATCCTTTCTGATTCCGGGCTCAGTGGATGTAAACCGGCGATTTTCCCCATAGAACAAAATCATCGTCTTGCCTTGGATGACGGACCAGTATATGAGAACCCTGAACGGTGTAGAAGACTCATTGGTAAGTTGATTTACCTCACTATCACAAGACCCGACCTGAGCTATGTTGTTCATATACTTTCTCAATTCATGCATTCACCGCGCTTAGCTCATTATGAGGCTGTTCTCCGGGTTATTCGATATGTAAAGAGAGATCCTGGTCAAGGACTTCTCCTCAAATCGGATTGTGACCTAAAAATTCATGCCTATTGTGATTCGAATTGGGCTTCATGTCCTCTTACCAGACGATCTCTCACTGGTTTCTTTATTATGTTGGGTTCTTCACCCATATCCTGGAAGACCAAGAAACAAGTAACGATGTCTCGCTCTTCTGCAGAAGCAGAGTATAAATCAATGGCTGCAGCTACAGCAGAGATTGTGTGGCTCAAGTCGTTTCTCACCTCTCTTGGGTCACTCACTCAACTCCTATGGAATTGTTTTGTGATAACCAAGCTGCTTTACACATTACAGTGAATCCGGTGTTTCACGAGCGTACCAAGCATATTGAGTTAGATTGCCACTTTGTACGTGAACATATTCTAGCCAAGCATATTACAACAGCTCATTTGCCTTCTCGTTCCTAACTTGCTGATTTGTTTACTAAAGCCTTGGGACAACGCGAGCTTCTTAGTTTTCTTCCCAAGTTGGGCATTTCATCCTTACATACTCCAACTTGAGGGGGAGTGTTGGAGATTATATGTAACAATATATTGTTTGAATTCAATTCTTTGTAACCGTAGGTTTAAATTCTTTGTAACTGTAGGTTTGAATTATTTGTAACGTATATTGTTTGAATTCAATTCTTTGTAACCGTAGGTTTGAATTCTTTGTAACGTATATTGTTTGAGTTCTTTGTAACCGTAGGACTGTTTAGATAGAGTATTTATTTGTTTTAGTCTGTTACGTTGTTACCATTTATTGTATGTTCGCCTATTTAAAGGCTACCAATGAATGAGATAAACACACAGTTGAAATATCAAGTTTATCTTTTCTTAATACAAAACAACTATTTCTTCCAATGATTTGTTGTTTCCCCTTTAATTAAAAAGAATTTGAAAAATATAACAACGCGATGAATTATTTTAAGTTAAACTAAACCATTTGTCATAATAGGAACACCAATGTGATACTTGGGAATATGTGACCAAATAGTTCAATACTGTTTGATTCATTATTTTATTCCCGAATATGGCTTAAATTCGATTTAACAATATTTTCTTCGTGAAAATGATAATCTGGGTATAACACTTCCATTTATTACTCGATGCGTGCACTTGTGTAATTGGTCATCATTTTGTGAACGACTTAGTTTTCCTCGGTGGCTGTGAAAGGATCAACAGATAACTAAATAAATTTGTTTTAAGTTAATATATATATATATATATATATATATATATATATAATAGTCATGCATTTTTTTTTAAAAAATATTGAAGATTTTTATATTTATAAAAAATATTTTGTTTTCTAAAAATACTTATAGATAGATTTTTATAAAAATTTAATATCATATAATATATTTAAAAGAATCATATAAATTCTTTATTATAGGATATTTTTATTAAAAATATTTATTTTAATTATATCTATGATTATATAAGATATTACCAAGAACTGAATAATATTACCTCATATAATATAATGGCAAATATAAATAGTAATAAAATTTAATAAGTCTTAAAAAAAACTTAATTATACTTCTGATCTTGTGCACCAAACATGACCTGAGAGTGCCCTAAAATTGATGCTTGACTGAAATCCCATTGTACTCTCATTACCGTTTTTTCTTCTCCACGAAAAACCCTAGCCGCTTCTCACCTTTCAATCAACGACTCCCCAACAAAAATGGTACATTTTCTCTCTTCCCTTGTTATCATCTCTTCCTTCTAAATGATTCATTGAGTCTGACGTTTCGTTACTTGTATGTTCAATTTTCCTTCATGCTTTCTTTCTTTCTTTAATTTGCTTTGCAGACAGGAGAGGCAGTGAATCCAAAAGCGTACCCTTTGGCCGATGCACAACTCACACTAACAATACTGGATCTTGTTCAACAAGCTGCCAACTACAAGCAGCTCAAAAAGGGTGCTAATGAAGGTATTATTACTACTTTCGCCTCTTCTTTAAAAAGAATCATGTATAAAAGAGCTTATATTTCATTGGTTGTACCATTTTATTTGTTATTCTTAAGTGTTAGTTATATAGCGTTTCTTTTTTCTTTTTTCTTTTTTTTTTTTGTTTTGTTTTAGCGACCAAGACACTGAACAGAGGCATTTCTGAGTTCATTGTGATGGCAGCAGACGCTGAGCCTCTTGAGATTCTTCTCCATCTTCCTTTACTTGCTGAGGATAAGGTAACTTCCCCTACCTTTATTTTTTTTCTTAAATACTCATTGTTGAGGACGAAGCTTTTCTTATTTCAAAGCACTTTGTTGTTGCATAAATGACTGTTTGGTGTTGGATTAGTGTATGTTGTAGAAATTTGATGAGCAGGTCGTCAAATAGCACAATAGCATTTAAAAAGGGTGTCCAAAACACCATCTGACTTATTGTTTTGATGTCTGTTGCGTCTAATAAGTTGAGTCTGGATAAGCTTCTTTTGAGTGCTACCATAATTATTTTGATAGCTCCCTGATGTGTATGGCCAATCATCTTTTGGCTTGTGAAGTTTGCATCTTGCTATTAATTTAACTATTTGATATCTCTACGTGCGTAAGTTGAAAGTGTTCTGTATTGGTACTTTTAAATAGTGAAACTATATTGTGTAAAGTTGAAGCCTTATAGTTTGATCTATTGATATGTGCTCTTTGAAATTAATTTTGAGTATAGTTACTTTTCCATGCGATGTTAGCTTTTCAAGTTCTGAAGAGACTGAATAGATAGTGAATTTCACTGCACTTAATCTCTTTTGAAATTATCCCTGGAGTGTATAGACGTTTTGTTATCTAAAGGCTGTGGCCTAGTGGCCTTTGTAGCCTAGTGACTCTAGTACCCTGTTTGATCCTTCATGTCTCAAGATCACACTTTGACCCACCTTTTCTGTGCCCATATTAGATTACGTTGTGTGATCAACCATATCTTGTAAGTTGGGATGACATTAGCAGATGCAGACATAATGTTAGTAAGTTTTTTTACTGCTGTAGATGTTAATTTCATCTTGAAATGTTACCTATATGTTGATTGGAGAATATTTTGGTTTTATGTTTTTTGTCCCAACTCCAGCAGCTTTCATTTCAAATCAATGATATTTCTGGAACTTTTATCTATAGCAATGAAGTAACCTGTTGACCATGTAATTAACTACTTGAATTTTTTAGAATGTTCCCTATGTGTTCGTCCCATCAAAACAAGCACTTGGACGAGCATGTGGAGTCACCCGGCCAGTCATTTCATGTTCTGTGACAACTAATGAGGGAAGTCAATTGAAATCCCAAATACAGCAATTAAAGGTATGCACTATTCTTTGCTTTAATAATTTTTAGGTAGTTGCAAACTATATTTGTTATCATCGTATGTTAATATTAAATAAACACGCATACTGAGTATTTGATTGGTATCTATGCAGGATGCTATTGAAAAGCTATTAATCTGAAAATTTGATATTCGGTATGATGGGCTTCTTGAGCTGTGCTGAATGCTCCTGTAGAGGCTTTGACTGGTCGAGTTGTGTTCAACCTTTATATGTAAACTTACATTAATATTTATCTCTGCTGCAAAAGATTATTGGAGAGCAATATTTTTTAAGTTAGTGCGAATGATGTTTACTGTTATTATAAATTGTATCGACGCTACTATTTGGTGCCATTAGAAATTTTAAACTACCTGATTATTTTGGTCTTGTTTTTGAATAATCAGAATAGTTTATATTCAGACATAGAAAAAAGCAAAGCCAAAAGCTTGTCGGCACTATTCTGCCACAACTAACAATACCTTGGGTAATTAATTCTCTATTTCTCACATTGCCTGTGAGTTCAGAACCTAAAAAGAGCCAACATAAAACTGCGTATACTATTTACCAAAATAAAAATAAAAATAAAAATTGCTTATCCGTTTTCTCACATTCCTTGTTCTGTTTTCGCCTAATGTGATTCATACCAGAACAAATCGGCGCCTCTAAATTCGTCTCATTTGATTTGCCGAGACATGAGGTGAAGACAGAATCTTCTATAATATCTATAACCATATAATAGAAATGAAGACGAGCAAAACTCAATAATGATCAAGATATTGAATTGAATATCTTGAAAAAAATGAACAAAATATTTAACGGTTTATTTTCCTATTCAGCATTGTCTTTGGAAAGCATTATTTTTTTATTTTTATTTTTTTATAAATTGAATAGTCTCGGATCGCTAGTTAAGTCTGTGTTTCAAATGCAATTGATTTTAAACATAGTTCGATACAAATTTAACTTGTTTAACTAACCAAAATATTATCAGGAGTTATGACTAGCTGTATTTTCAGTTATTCCTTAAACATTAGCGGAAATTAGGAAATTAGAGTTCTCCAAGAAAGACTTGATTCAACACACGAGTGAGCTGGTTGGATTGACTAGGGATAGTATATTTCCTCGAGGGCATATCAAGTTGTGGCTCACACTGGGATATGAAGTTTCTCAATACGTTGGTCACTATAAAAGAATATCAAGCCATGACTCTACGCTAAATCGAAAGCCTTAATGTATAAAGGGAAACAACATCGGTCAATTGTAGAGCACCCACATCTTCTTGGCAACATACGAAGTACGAGAAGACATATGAGACACTCGACTCCAACTTGGAGTCTTTGCAATTGGATGTCAAACCAGATCATATCATAAAGATTAGAGGAAATCTAACCTTTGAAAACTGAGAAAGGCGAGCCACATTCGTCAAAGCAAAATAAAAATCATTATACTCGGACATCTCGACATGTCCACCATGCCTCGAATCTACTCATGGCTGTGGGTAAGCAAATAAGCATCCATCCACAACATCGACTAAGGCATTTTCATGCCTTCATTCATGAGGTTTGTACCTCATCAGATGTAAGTAGTCTCATGTCATACTAGTAATGTACGTACGACACAAATATTATCTCAATTATGTACTATGTAGAAAATTTTGATTTGTTTTATAATTAGAGATGTTGTTTATTAAACCTAAAGCCCTGTAACACCCCAAAATTTTTAACAATTTACGAAATATTATTATAATAAAGAAATTGTCAAAATTCACGTTTTATTTATTTATGATCATGGAAATATCGTGGAAGCTAATCTAAAACTAATTTGGAGAGATGTTACCGCCGTACCGGTACATTGACAAGTGCAAGACTAACTTTTTTACATTCATAAATATTAAAATAAAATCAGAGACTTTGTTTTATACATAAAATTTAGAACTAGTTGGAAATTCTCTGAGTCATTATCCTCACTGCTCACAGCTAGCCCCATCCGTTGCAACCTGTTTCACTAAAAATCTGCTCCCCCTGAAGGATCATTGCAGCCAAACAACCACAAACAGTCAGCAAAACTGGTAATCCTAATCAAATCACAATTTATATAACTCAAATATAGTAATCAAATTAAATATATAATTACATAATAATTGAATCAAATATCAACTTCATCATATATATAAAATATTCTCATCATAATCACATCAAATATCACCTTCAATATATATTCACATCGAATCAAATTTACTCATAATCTTTATTAAGTTCATTTAGTGTATGTAGTGAATTTAGTGGATTTAGTGGGAAGAGAACCATGGTAGACCTGGAAAACCCTGTTGCCAGTCTACCCCGTGACCTGGAAAACTCTGTTACCAGCCACGTATAATCAAAATTGGCCATCATCAAAACATCAAATCATAGTGTGCACACCTCTTCCCAAAGTTACCAGATACCACTTTGGGAAGAACGGAAACATCATTCACATCAAATAAATATCAAAGGCATAAAGCCCAAAGGTTGTGTTCATCACTTTCAGGAGGTACCGTCTCAAAAGCTATCTTCCCACTATTATTTATCACAATCACACACAATCAATAAAATTCAATATTGTCACAATCCTTATAATTGGAAAATTTCCTCAAATATTTTTCATAATTTCCACATGAATTTAATCAAGAGTATAATTTCCAAATTAAATTTTTCAAGAATATCATAATTTCCAACTCTATCATAATTTTCAAATCTATTATCCAATAATATCATAATTTTCATATTCAACATCTATCAGAGTAAAACTCAAATCCAATCATCATATCATAATTTTCCAGATCAGAACTCAAAGAGTAAAACTCAAATCCAATCATCATATCATAATTTTCGAAATCAGAATCCAAAGAGTAAAACTCAAATCCAATCATCATATCATAATTTTCGAAATCAGAATCCAAAGAGTAAAACCCAAAGTCCAATAATTATCCAATTAATTTCTAGAGGATAAAAGAATTTAATTTAAATACCCTAAGGGTTACATATAATATATGAAAACATCCAAAAATTCCCTAAGGATTAAAATTACATTTAACAAATTTAATATAAAATTATCCTACGATCACCTAGAGGATTATGTATACCAAATTTCATCGAAAACTAATTTAAGATGCCCTAAGGATCAAGATTACATTAGACAAAGTTTCTTATCAAAGTTAATCTATTATTTCTAAAGCATTAGGATTATACCCAACAAATTTCATTTAAAACTAACCTAAGAGCACCTAGGGATTAGGATTACATATAAGGATTATGCCTAAATTTCATATAAAAGAGATAACCTACAAATACCTAGGGATTATGATCACCTAGAGATTAGGATTACATAAATTTCAAATAAGTTATTGATTATTCCATGAAGATTAGAATCACATCTAATAAATTTATAATAAAACAAAACTATAGTGCCTAAGCATCGAGATTACATCAAACAAAAATTCATACAAAGCTAACCCTTGACTCTCTAGGGATTAGGATTACCTGGTCTCCATGTTGGTTATCTTCTAGAAGAAAAGTGATTTGGGGAAGAAAAGCAGTTGGTAACCAAAAGAAAATAATAATAAATAAAATAAATAAAAATTTGAAGTAAAAAGAGAGAAAATAAGGGAGAAGAGAAACGGAGAAATGCTGAGGATTGTAAGTGATTTGGTTTGGTTAGGTTAAGCTCCTATTTATAGCTGTAGTTTTGAAACTGATACATTAACTACAAGTAATATCAAAAGTCATATACTTATTTCAATTATTGAAACTGCAAGTAATATCAATGGTCATCATAATTATTTTAACTATTATTAGAATATCAATGGTTACAAAATTAAATAAAAATAATAATTGTCATTTACTAATTAAATGATAACCAACCATAACTGCTGAACGTTGCAACTAAAACCACCACTAATTAAGGTTATAATTTTATAGTCAAATTATGACACACTATTAGCAATAAATGCCTATAACACTATAAGGGTATGCACTATTATTATTATTATTATTATTATTATTATTGTTGTTGTTGTTGTTGTTGTTACTATTTTTCTGGTATATTACAAGCTCTGTATCACGATCATTATATTTTTTTAATCTTTTATTGGATAATAATATGTGATTTATTATTTTTTATATTAAAATATTTGAAATTTTTATCAATTTTTTAGATATTCGAATATGTTTATAATTTTTTAATATGAATTATAGAATTGCATATAATTACCGGGTCATGCAGTTGAACCAGTGATCTGGTACCTCAACCGGGTTAACGATCGAGCCGATTTTAATAACATTGGTACTTGAGCTTTTATGATTATAGATCCTCAAGATACATTTTGATTATTTCAAATGTCTTTATCCGTAAACATTAATAAAGTAAATAAAGATAGATAAAATAGAAAAAGTATATGCTCTAAATATTATTCATGAAATAATGTCAAAATATAAGGTGTCATTTGAATATGAAATGTCTCTGGCACACCTATACTAACATCTTTGCGAACTCCAAGATAAAGCCACTTCATTTTTTAAAATTTTTATGGGGTTTGTCAAATATATCCTCTCTCTTTTTTTCTTTTAAAAAGTTATTATTTATTAATTATTTAATTATTTATTTCACTCCTAAAATAACTCTCTTCCCATCGTAAACCCAAACTTTGTTTCCCACCAATTCTTTGAAAGAAAGGTAAAATGAAAATCTTTGCAGCCTTGAATCTACTCATGGCCATGGGTAAGCACGTAAGCATCCACCCACAACATCGACTAAGGTATTTTCATGCTTGCATCTATGAGATCCGTACATCGCGTTTAAGTACCTGATGTCGTATTAGTCTAATCAAGTTGACCAATGCGCTTTCTTGGTAACTCTGAACTAGGAACAATGTTTAACAAATAATCAAATAATGTACTCAAGTCTTCATGATCATGATCTCATCATAGATGTTTCAGCTGCACCTTGATAGTTTGAAGAGCCTTTATCCACAAATAGAAATAAAGTAAATTGAGACATATAAAACAGAAACAGTAAATGCTCTAAATATTATTTGTGAAACATTGCCAAAGTATAAGGTGTCATCTGTATATGAAATTGTCTCTAGACACCTATAAAAAAATCATTGTGGATTCCAAGGTAAAGTCATTCTCCATTTTTTTTTAATTTTTACGGTGTTTGTCAAATATATCTTCTTTTTTTAACTTTTAAAAAGTTATTTTTATTAAATATTTGATTATTTATTTCACTCCTATAATAACTCTCTTCCCGTTAAAGATCCAAACTTTGTTTCCCATTGACTCTTTTGAAAGAAAGGTAAAAAGAAAATTTTGCGGCCTTGAATCAAGTCATGGCCGTGGATAAGCA